ACAATTTAAGTTCTCCTCTCCAAACCTCCACAGCAATGTTTTCTGTCTCTTCATAAGGTATTCTCACCTGGATGTGCCTTTTCCTACTTCAATACCTGCAGACATTCTCTCCTTATTCAAAACTCAGATCGAAAGGGCAACCTTTCCTGAACTTCAATCCCCCTGGTACCTCCAAGAAGGAATCAAGTATTTCTTTCTCTGTATTTCCATAGCAACTTACACTTATAGACATTTCCTCTACCATGGATTTTCACATTGCAAATTAAAAACAATCAGCTATGTAGGGAACCTGAATCACAGGACCTAGGCTGGCTACAGGTTCTATAGCATCACTGTAATAGAAAACTGCTGCTGATTGTTGGAGTAGGAACATAAGGTTAAATGAGAGGCTGGCAGCTCACTTGGCCTCCTGCTCGTGCTTGGTGTTTGCAAACTGGGCTGGGATTTGTTTTGCATTGTATTTCACTTTTGTGTGATCTCTATTATTAAAATGGATAATAAAAGTGATAATTATGTAAGTGCTGGGTTAACACAGTACTTTGCAGAGCTAGAAAATAAAGGCACAAGTCATGACTTGGGCACAAGTCAAGGGTGATAAATTCTTTGAAAAAACATGCATTGGCTGGGCACGGTGGCTCACGCCTGTAATCCCAGCACTTTGGGAGGCCGAGTCAGGCAGATCATGGGGTCAGGAGATTGAGGCCATCCTGGCTAACACGGTGAAACCCCATCTCTACTAAATACACATACAGAAAATTAGCTGGGCATAGTGGCACGCGCCTGTAGTCCCAGCTACTTGGGAGGCTGAGTCAGGAGAATCGCTTGAACTCGGGAGGCAGAGGTTGCAGTGAGCCAAGATGGCACCCTGCACTCCAGCCTGGGCAACAGAGTGAGACTCCATCTCACAAACAAGCAAACAAAAAGACATGCATTATCATTAGAGCTGTTGGGGTGTGTGTGTGTGTCTGTGTGTGTGTGTGTGAGACGGAGTCTCACTCTGTCACCCAGGCTAGGGTGCAGCAGCACAATCTCGTCTCACTGCAACATCCACCTCCTGGGTTCAAGCAATTCTCCTGCCTCACCCTCCCGAGTAGCTGGGATTACAGGTGTGTGCCACCATGCCCAACTAATTTTTGTATTTTTAGTAGAGATGGGGTTTTGCCATGTTAGCTAAACTGGTCTTGAACTCCTGGCCTCAAGTGATCCACTGCCTCAGCATCCCAAAATACTTGGATTACAGGTGTGAGCCATCATGCCCGGCCTGGATTTCATATTATTAAAGTCAATGTTAAGAAGGTTTTTAAAATTATCTTTTTGGAATGTAAGCTCTTGGAAAACTTAAAGGCCAGCTATGATAACGGTAATGGAAAAGCTTCAGAGTGTGAAGTTAAAGGGCCATGAGAAGGGTTCAGGCTTGTTTTTGTTCATTTTGATCAACTAATCTGTTATTATTATTATTATTTGAGACGAAGTCTTGCTCCGTTGCCAAGGCTGGAGTGTAATGGCATGATCTCGGCTCACTTCAACCTCCACCTTGTGGGTTCAAGCTAGTCTCCTGCCTCCCGAGTAGCTGGGTTTACAGGCACATACCATCATGGCTGACTACTTTTTGTATTTTTAGTAGAGATGGGGTTTCACCATGCCGGCCAGGCTGGTGTCAAACTCCTGACCTCAGGTGATCCACCCTCCTCAACCTCACAGAGTGCTGGGATTACAGGCATGAGCCACCATGTCCGGCCCCAATCTGTTGTTTTTAAGCCACAATAACAAACATCTTTATTGCTGCCATTACTGAAAAAAAGAACCAGATTATTATTTTTTCTTATATCTCAATTCTTCCCATTGAGGCCATCAACTTTTAAATAAAATGTTTAGATAATATGTTTTTTTTTTGAGACCAAGTCTCACTCTGTCACCAAGGCTACAGTGCAGTGGCGCAATCTCAGCTCACTGCAACCTCTGCCACCCAGGTTCAAGCGATTCTCCTGCCTCAGCCTCCCGAGTAGCTAGGATTACAGGTGGTGCCACCGCGCCTGGCTAATTTTTGTAGTTTTAGTAGAGGTGGGGTTTCACCATCTTGGCCAGCCTGGGGTTGAACTCCTAACCTTGTGATCCACATGCCTCAGCCTCCCAAAGTGTTGGGATTACAGGAGTGAGCAATCTCGCCTGGTCGATAATGTGATGTTTTAAACCTAAGTAGTGCAAATAACATAACAATGCCTTTATTTGCTGCTTATTGAATTCTACCTTGTAATACTTTATTGTAAGCTTATTGGAGACAGGAACCATGCCATTCATCTTTGTATTTCATTTCTCCCTTGGCTTCAGAAAAAGAGTACCATGCCTAACACATAGGCACTGAATACTGTTTTTTCCTCAGTGAAATTGAATGGGAATTTTAAAATTATGATCTTTTAAACCTTTTTTTGTTGTGAAATATAATTCTCAATCAGAAAGGCAGAAAAGAGCACAATACAAAAATGTTTAGCTCAATGAATTATCCACAAATATCCATGTAGCTACTACTCAACTCAATAAAAAGAACATTACCATCAACCCTCTCTCAATTACTATCCCCTCTGTTCTCCTAAAGGTAACTATTATCTTGACTTTTGTGAACACGTACTCTTAAACACTGTAGGTTAGTCTTGCTTGGTTTTTAAAACTTTTTACAAAAGGAATAACACTGAATAAGAGGAGAAAGCCTTGAAATAGTCAGAGCTGAAAATGATTAAGGTGGATATTTTTTAGATGCCCACCTCCCCATCTTCTCTCCCTTTTGGCCTTTCCCAGAAGAAGGAAACCCTAATCCTTAGTTCTCTAAACCTGCTCATCTCTAAACCTCTAATGAAGCAGTTACCTTAGAGCAGCTGCCTGCTGGAGCATCCTACCCAACACACTTTGATCCTAGGGGCTACCCTGCTGCCACTAACTCCAGATGACAGGGATCCATCAGGAAACTCTGTCCGAGGACATTAATTGTACATGTGTTCTTTTGTATCTAAGATTCAGCCATAATGAATCCATAATGTTGTAAAAAGATTTGTACCTAAAATTCATCCATAATGTTGCATATAGATTTAGCTTGCTCATTTCCATTGCTGAATATCATTCCATTGTATGAATATATCACACTCCATATTTACTCATTCTACTGTCAATGCCATATTTGGGTTATTTCCAGTTTGGAACGATTACAAATAACACCTCCATGAACATTTGTATATATGTCTCTTGATATATATGTGTACACTTTTGTACTGGGTACTTGAGGGTGGAATTGCTGGATCACTGAGTATGCACCTTCAACGTTAGTAGAGAAAGTCAAACTGTGGTTGCATCACTACTGCCAGCAGTGTATGAGAGCTCCCATTGCCTCACACCCTTGCCAACAGTTATTATTGTCAGTCTGTTTAATTTTAGCTTTTCTCGGGGATATATGCTATTATCCAATTGTCTATTTTGTTTGTGTGTTTTATTTTATTTCATTTTGTTTTTTAGAGACAGAGTCTTGCTCTGTCACCTTGGCTGGTGTGCAGTAGCTCACTTCAGCTTCAAACTCCTGGGTACAATTGAGCCTCCCACATTAGCCTTCCAAGTAACTGGCACTACAGGAACATGCCACCATACCTTGATTTTTTTTTTTTTTTTTTTGGTAGAGACAGAGTCTCACTATGTTGCCCAGGCTGGCCTTTTTTTCTTTTAATTTTTATTTATTTATTTATTTATTTTTAGACATGGGTTTTTGACATGTTGTCCAATTTGGTCTTGCACTCCTGGGCTCAAGCAACCCTTCAGCCTTGGCCTCCCACAGTGCTGGGATTAAGGTATGAGCCACCATGCTTAGGCCCAATTATGGTTTTAATTTTCATTTTTCTGATTACTAATGAGATTGAGCAATTTTCATATATTTATTGGCTATTTGATATTCTCTTTCGTGAAATGCCTGTTCAGGTCTCTGGCCTATTTTCCAACTGAGTTGTTCATCTTTTTGTTATTGATTTCCAGTAGTTCTTTATACAGTATACTCTGGATAGAAGCCTTTTGTCAGTTGTGTATGCTGTAAATTTCCTCTCCTTTTTGTGGCTTATCTTTTCATTATATAGTCTTTTGAAGAAGAAAAATTCTTGATTATAGCAGAGTCAAATTCTTCAACTTTTTAAATATGTTTCCTGTTTTAGAACACTTTCTCTACACCAGGATCATAAAGGTATTTTGTATTATCTTCTAGAAGTCTCCTAAGAGGAGGTTTATTAGTGGAAAGAAATTTGGGGTGCAGTTGAGGATGAATATTTGTTGGAAGTCTCATGAGTTGGAGAATAAAAAGAATCATGCTATTGCTAGGATAAAACCAATATCACTGATACGGTTATATAAGATTGCTTGGAGGGCCGCTGTATTAGCATCTGCTCGACCATACCATCAGCTGATTAATGGGAAAGATATAACGCCTATTCCTTCTCTACCAATAAAAAGTTGAAAGAGGTCATTGGTGGTGATTAGGATTAATATTGTGATGAGAAAAATGAGCAAATATTTGAGGAATTGATTGATATTTGGATCTAGATTTGTATATTGTATTGAGAATTCTATGATAGACCAAATAACAAATAATGCTATGGTGGTAAATATCGTGGAGAAGAGGTCTAGTTTGAAACTTAATGCTAGTTTAAGGGTTTGGATTGTTATTCAATGTCAATTTGAAATAATAGTTTCTTGATTTGTGAGAACAAATACTGTTATAGAGATAAGGCAGGTGATGAAGGCATATATAATAGGCATTTTTACATCGTATGGATATAGGATCTTTTTAGGGGGATTAATTAGGGTAATGAAAATAGGTAAGAATAGGGGAATTAGGGTTATTAAAGTGATGGAAGAATACTTTTTTACTTTTTTTTTTTTGAGAAGGAGTTTCGCTCTTGTTACCCAGGCTGGAGTACAATGGCACGATCTCGGCTCACCGCAACCTCCGCCTCCTGGGTTCAAGCAATTCTCCTGCCTCAGCCTCCCAAGTAGCTGGGACTACTGGTGCACGCCACCATGCCCAGCTAATTTTTGTATTTTTAGTAGAGACGGGGTTTCACCTTGTTGACCAGGATGGTCTCGATCTCTTGACCTTGTGATCCACCCGCCTCAGCCTCCCAAAGTGCTGGGATTATAGGCGTGAGCCACTGCGCCTGGCCCCACTTTTTTACTTTTATTTGGAGTTGCACCAATATCTTTGGTTCCTAAGACCAATAGATTATTTCTAACCTTTAAAAGTAAGAAAGCCAGGGCCAGGCATGGTGGCTCACACCTGTGATTCCAGCACTTTGGGAGACCAAGGTGGGCAGATCACGAGGTCAAGAGATCAAGACCATCCTGGCCAACATAGTGAAACCCCATCTCTACTAAAAAACACAAAAATTAGCTGGACATGGTGGCAGGCGCCTGTAGTTCCAGCTACTCGGGAGGCTGAGGCAGGAGAATTGCTTGAACCTGGGAGGTGGAGGCTGCAGTGAGCCGAGATCGCGCCATTGCACTCCAGCCTGGTGCCTGGTGACAGAGCAAGACTGTCTCAAAAAAAAAAAAAGAAAGAAAGAAAGTAAGAAAGCCATGTTATTAGACTTGGGGGCATGAGTTACCAGTTCTTGAATACTTTCTCGGTAGATAAGAAGTTGTAGGCTTCTATAGTTAGAGTCACAATCTAATGTTTTAGTTAAACTATAGCTACAGGATGTTAATCCTGTGATTGTTTGGGGGTTTAGAGTAAGGAGTAGGATTGGTGCAAGATGTATAAATACTAAAATATTTTCCCATGTGAAGAAAGGTTTAATACTGCTAATATTGTACTTTAATGCTCTCTGATGTGTTGAGGTAAATATGTATAGTGAATAAAGGGCTGTAATTAGTATGTTAAGTCCTATAAGTAAAATAGTGAAGTTTGATCTGAAGAAGGAGGCTATGACTGTAAAGAGTTCTCCAATTAAATAATGGTTGGGGTAGGGCAAGATTAGTAAGATTTGCTAAGAGTCATCAGAGGGCTATTAATGGAAATAATATTTGGAGTCCTCGGGTGAATAGTATGGTTCGGCTATGGATTTGTTCATTATTTGAGTTTGCTAGGCAGAACATTAAAGATGAGGTGAGCCTGTGGGCGATTATGAGAGTAGTAGTGCCTGTAAAACTTCAAGGGTTTTGAATGAGGATTGCTAGAATAACAAGTGCTATATGTCTTACAGAAGAATAGGCAATGAGTGATTTTAGGTCAGTTTGTCATAAACAGATAGAGCTTGTTATAATTATCCCTCATATGGATAAAATTAGGAAAGGATAGCTTATGGTTTCTGTTAGGGGGCTAAGGACATGGGTAATTCATATTATGCCATAGCCGCCTAATTTTAGCAGTACTGCTGCAAGTACTATTGAGCTGGCGATAGGGGCTTCTACATGGGCTTTAGGGAGTCATAGGTGGAGTCCATATAGAGGCATTTTGACTCTAAAGGCCGTTATATATGCTAGTCATGTAACATTGTTGGTTCAGGAGAATAATAGTTCTTGAGCAATAACTGTTGTTGTTACTCTATTTAGTGACCCTAAGGTGTTTTGGGTGTAAAGAAGTATGATGAGTAGGTGAAGGGATCCTACTAGTGTATAAAATAATAAATATGAGCCTGCATTGAGGCATTCTGATTGATATCCTCAGTGGGTAATAATAATTAGAGTGGGAATTAATGTGACTTTGAATAGGATATAAAATATGATTCGCTCTGTGGTCGTGAATGCTGTAATTAAGGAAGTTTGTAGGATAATTAATATGGAAATGTAAAGGTTTTTTGTGGGAGGGGAATACTGAATAGGTGGTGTTGAGTGGCTAAAATTATGGGAGGTAGAAGTCAGGCTGTTAAGATTAGAAGCGGGGATGTTAATGGATCTGAAAAGAAAGTGAGAAAGTACATAGGTTGTTGTTGGGGTAGTGAAAGAAAATAGGATAAAGAGCCTGATAAATAAGCTATGAGTGACTATGTTAATTCATATTATATAATTTTTTCCAAGTCATGTTGTTGGAAGCAGGTTACTTTTTGGGAAAATAACTTTTAACAGTGGAGTAGATTTAAGTTTTGTAAGTAATCTAGGCCGTGTATGTTAGAAGTTGAAATTAGTAGGGCTAGGCCTACTGCAGCTTCACAGGCAGAGAATACTAGAAAGACAAGAGGTATTATAGATATTAAGATAAAATATATATTTAAGGTTATGATTATGATTATAATGAACAATGATAATATTTTACCTTCCAAACATAGTAGAGATTATATTAGGTGGGATGGATAAGTTAATATTCCTGGTAGAGATATAGAATATACTAGTATATTATTAATATAAATAAAAGGCATTTGATAGATATAATTCATCATAATCTAATGAGTCATCATTTGTTTTGATTTAAACTATATACCAATTTGGCTCAGTCTAATCCTTTTTGAGTTCATTCATAAACTATGCCTAGAATTAAACTAATTACTAGCATAAGAGTTGTGCTAATTGTTAACATTAGATTACTTGTTTGTGTTGCTCATGGTGGGGGTAGTAGTAGGGCAATTTCTAGGTAGAATATAAGGAATGTAATAGAAATTAAAAAGAATTTTTTTTTTTTTTGAGACGGAGTTTTGCTGTTGTTACCCAGACTGAAGTGCAATGGCACGATGTCGGCTCACCGCAACCTCCGCCTTCTGGGTTCAAGCAATTCTCCCGCCTCAGCCTCCCGAGTAGCTGGGACTACAGGCACATACCACCATGCCCAGCTAATTTTTGTATTTTTAGTAGAGACGGGGTTTCACCTCGTTGACCAGGATGGTCTCGATCTCTTGACCTCGTGATCCACCCGCCTCGGCCTCCCAAAGTGCTGGGATTATAGGCATGAGCCACAGCGCACCCGGCCTAAAAAGAATTTTATAGACCTCCGAGACCGCATCCGCCCCGCGAGCACAGAGCCTCACCCTTGCTGTTCCATCGCCCGTCCACACCCACTGCCAGCTCACCATGGATGATGGTATCACTGCACTTGTTGTCGACAACGGCTCCGGCATGTGCAAGGCCGGCTTCACGGGCAACTGTGCTCCCCGGGCCATCTTCCCCTCCATCATGGGGCGCCCCAGGCACCAGGGCGTGATATTGGGCATGGGTCAGAAGGACTTCTACGTGGCTGACGAGGCCCAGAGCAAGAGAGGCATCCTGACCCTGAAGTACCCCATTGAGCACGGCATTGTCACCAACTGGGATGACATGGAGAAGATCTGGCACTACACTTTCTACAACGAGCTGCGTGTGGCTCCTGAAGAGCACCCTGTGCTGCTTACTGAGGCCCCCTGAACCCCAAGGCCAACTATGAGAAGATGACCCAGATCATGTTTGAGACCTTCAACACCCCAGCCATGTATGTGGCCATCCAGGCCGTGCTTTCCTTATAGGCCTCTGGCTGTACCACTGGCATCATGATGGACTCTGGTGACGGGGTCACCCACACTGTGCCCATCTATGAGGGGCCCTCTCCCACGCCATCCTTCGACTGGACCTGGCTGGCTGGTACCTGACTGACTACCTCATGTAGATCCTCACTGAGTGCGGCCACAGCTTCACGACCACAGCTGAGCGGGAAATCGTGTGTGACATCAAGGAGAAGCTGGGCTACATCACCCTGGACTTCGAGCAGGAGATGGCCACGGTGGCCTCTAGCTCCTCCCTGGAGAAGAGCTATGAGCTGCCCGATGGTCAGGTCATCACCATCGGCAACGAGCGGTTCCGCTGCCCTGAGGCGCTCTTCCTTCCAGCCTTCTTTCCTGGGCATGGAATCTTGTGGCGTCCACGAAACTACTTTTAACTCCATCATGAAATGTGACATGGACATCCGCAAAGACCTGTATGCCAACACAGCGCTGTCTGGCAGTACCACCATGTGCCCTGGCATCGCTGACAGGATGCCGAGGGAGATCACTGCCCTGGCACCCAGCACGATGAAGATCAAGATCATTGCTCCTCCTGAACGGAGGTACTCCATGTGGATCGGTGGCTCCATCCTGGCCTCTCTGTCCACCTTCCAGCAGATGTGGATCAGCAAGCAGGAGTACGACGAATCCCGCCCCTCCATCATCCACCGCAAATGCTTCTGGGCAGACTGTGACTTAGTTGCATTACACCCTTTCTTGAAAAAACCTAACTTGCGCAGAAAACAAGATGAGATTGGCATGGCTTTATTTGTTTTTTTTTTTTTGTATTGTTTTGGGTTTTTTTTTTTTTTTTGGGCTTGACTCAGGATTTAAAAACTGGAAAGGTGAAGGTGACAGCAGTCGGTTGGAGTGAACATCCCCCAAAGTTCTACAATGTGGCCGATGACTTGATTGTGTACATTGTTTTCTTTAAGTCATTCCAAATATTGTGAGATGCATTGTTATAGGAAGGCCCTTGCCCTCCCAAAAGCCACTCCACTTCTCTTTAAGGAGAATGGCCCAGTCCTTTCCCAAGTCCACACAGGGGAGGTAACAGCATTGCTTTTGTTGTAAATTATGTAATGAAAAAATTTTTAAATTTTGCCTTAATACTTTTTAAATTTTGTTTTATTATGAAAGATTTTAGCCTCTGGCTACCCCTTTTTTTGTCCCTCAACTTGAGATGTATGAAGGCTTTTGGTCTCCCTGGGAGTGGGTGGAGGCAGCCAGGGCTTACCTGTACACTGACTTGAGACCAGTTGAATAAAGTGCACACCTTAAAAAAAAAAAAAAAAAAGAATTTTATAGAGAAAGGTAGGTGAGCACAGGCTATGGGATCAAACCCACATTCATAGGAGTTATATTTTTCTCTATAAATTTTTAATTGTGGGAGTCAGAATGTGATCATAATCAGTAATAGGGCTAAGAGAGTGTCAGTTGCTAAAGTTAGTGTTAGGTTAATTACTCTCGGGTTTGAATCGAAGCTTATTGATTGGAAGTCAATGGTACTTTTGTACTAAGAGAGTAGGATCCTCATCAGTAAATGGAAATATACAGGAACAGTCACACTATGTCTACGAAGTGTCAGTATCATGCAGCAGCTTCAAAGCCTAAGTGGTGATTGGTTGTAAAGTGAAATATTAGTTCGTGAAAAAGACACGTAGTGAGAAATGTAGATCCAATAATAGCATGGAGGCCGTGAAATCCTGTAGTGACAAAGAATGTGGAGCCATAAATTCCATCAGAAATAGTAAAGGAAGTTTCAAAATATTCTGAGATTTGTAGGAGAATGAAATAAGCACCTAGAATAATGGTCATAGTTAATGCTTGGATTATTTCTTTTCAGTTAGCTTCCATTAGGCTGTGATGTGCTTAGGTAATTGAGCTCAGGTATTTTTTTCCTTTCAAATTTAGATCTACAATCTACATTGGATTGTCCTTTGTGTATGATGTGAGTTAAAGGTTGTTTCTTTTTTTCTTGCCAAGATTCCTTTTCAAATGTCCTAGCATCATTTATTGAAAAGACTGTTCTCTCTCCACTGCTCTGCAGTATCACCTTTGTTAAGAATCAAATGTTAAGCAATACATGAGCAATATAAGCAATACTCTCTATTCCATTCTATTTGCCTATCTTTGTACCAGCATCACACTGTTTTAATTGCTATAGCTTTATGCCATGTCTTTATATCCAAGAGAACAAGTTCTCCATTCCAGTTCTTCTTCAGTTGGGTCTTGGCTATTTGTTACTTTCCATTTCTGTATACTTTTTAGAATGAACATGTCAAGTGGTATTTTCATTTTTCTCTCCTAGTGCTGACTTTCAACAGCTAAATTTTTATAATTATTTAGAACTTTAATGGCAATAGGACTTTGAAAGGACGTGATATAGTGGGGAAAAAAGTGGGCCATGCTATCAGACTTGAGTTTGAATTTATTCTTACCATTCTCTATTAGTGTAGGACATGAGACTGGTACAGGCTTGTTTTATCTATTTTGATCAACTATTTATACTTTTTAGGCCACAATAACAGAAACACCTTTATTGCTGAAATTACTGAAGGAAAATAACTTTATTATTGCAAATATGAGACTATCTTCTTCCCATTGAGACAGTCACTTTTATAAGCACAAGTTATTTCGCTTTCCTAAATTCAGGCTTATCAGTTGTAAATGGGGATAAAAATAACTACTTTCTGAGGAATGAACCTTTGTAAATGTGCTTAGTACAAAAAAGGAACTTGATAATGGTGGTCCTTATATCTGTTCTTTCTTGGCTTGTCTAGCATGTTTTCCTACACCCTTCTCAGTTGATTAGGAGCATGGCAGGTCTGAGATGCTAGAAGTTTTTGCATAATAAAAGCCTAACTTTCAGAAATTCATTTCTTTAAATTTCTTTTTTTTCTTTTTTTTGAGACGGAGTTTCATCATGTTGGTCAGACTGGTCTCGAACTCCTGACCTCAGGTAATCCACCCGCCTCGGCTTCCCAAAGTGCTGGGATTATAGACGTGAGCCACCGTGCGCAGCCACTTTCAGAAATTCATATTATCTAAACTGGAAGAGATTAGGGGTACATGTAAAAATTATATATGTGAATATATTCTTTATAAATGTTTTGTGAATTATGATGCATATTTTAAATTTCAACATTATTATTCTCTTTCTCCTCTAATATTAGTTATAAATCATACAGAGTATAGGTTTTGTTTCTGTAATGCTCAATGCAATAAAAAGGCTTGTGACTGGATTGTTAAAATTCAGCACTGCACGGGTTTGTTGGCATCACAATAAATATTTCTTAGCCCAGTTCAGAAATGTGTCAAAGCTATCAGCAGATAATGCAGCAGACAATGTATCATTACCCACTTATCATAACTGTAACTTGTGCCTCATCTTTTTTATTTTTATTTTTTACAAGGCATTCATCCATTGGTACACATTTTTCTTTTTTTTTTTTTAAAGGCATTCATCTTTTTAACTTTAAACATTTGTACTCACCTAGAAACCAATTTGAAATGTTTTTCTTATTATCTTCTTACCATCCCCCAGAATATATATTTTTTAACTCATAAAATGCATGTTATTTAAGGTAAATCATAAAGTTATAATGAATACCCATGAATCTAACATCTGCCATCCAAACCATGTGCTCATTCTATTCATGTTAACTGGCTTCTTATTTAAACCTCTTTGAGAACTTGGCCTCTTTAATTTATATTATTGGCTTAATATTCACTTAAAATATCCTCAAACAGTACAGACAGCTGCATGCAGCTTCAATATGTAGTTATTTTGCAGCTCATTAATGCTATGAAATCTGTGAATATGTTTATTTAGTAAAATTGGCAAGCAAGGAGTTTTGTCTCCAATTCTATCTATACCTCTAAGTGTCTGTGTGTAACTGTGACTGCATATGGCCTCTTACATTCAGAAATGAATTATTCTCTATCTCTATATTTCTTTCCCATTCTGTCTCTCACATACACATACATATTCAAATACACACAAAGAAAAGGATATAGAAAAAGAAAATATGAAAACAGCTCCCAATATGATCCATCTACCATCTGTACTTTCCTATCCATCACTGCAAATTTGGGCAAAATGCTCTCTCTTGTATTCATTTTGCTCCCTATTCCCTTATTCATGCTGGTTTGGAGACAAAGTGGGGGTACAAAAAGGCAGTCCGCTATTTTCTGCACCACAATTTCCCTTTTCAGTGACTCCATAGCTGCCATCAGCTCACAGATGATGCTCTTTTGTGGATATGGGGGGAACTCTGATAGAACACTTGTGGAAGGTGCCCCACAGGGGAAGAGTGAATAGCCTGTTCCTTCAATCCTGTCACCAGGTGGCAAAGGCAAAATGCTGTCAAATGGCCCAAAAGCTTATCAGGGAGGAAAAGACTCAAGGGTTTATAGCATCTGAGCTTATAGAACATGCTCATTTAATTCATGAGATGTTTCATTTTTGTATTTTAGTAACAATTTTAGTAACAGGTATGTCTTTATGATTGTAATCTTTTGCTTCCTCCATTCTTTCTATAGATGCATATGTATGTATATGTGTGTGAATATGTATATGTATATAATATACATCTACATAGCATAGTTCAGTTTAATAGGCATTTATTAAGTTATTATTTGCCATGCATCAAGGACACAGAGATGAATAAGATATGGATTCTGCTGGGCACAGTGGCTCCCGCCGATAATCCCAGCTACTCGGGAGACTGAGGTGGGAGAATCACTTGAGGCCAGGAGTTCAAGATCAGCCTGAGCAACAGAGCTTGATCCCATATCTATTTTTTAAAATGTGAATTCTGCTCTCGAGGAGCTTGTAGTCTACTGGTATTTATTTTTCCACAGATGATTTTAGACATAGGGACTATATTTCAGTTTTACTACCAGTATTAAAAAGTATTAAAACCTAATAGGACTTTCCAGAAGGCACAGGCCAGCCATAGGAAGCACAGGAGTGCAGTGGTGCGATCTTGGCTCACTGCAATCTCTGCCTCCCAAGTTCAAGCAATTTACCTGCCTCAGCCTCCCGAGTAGCTGGGACTACAGGCATGCGCCACCATGCCCAGCTAATTTTTGTATTTTTAGTAGAGACAGGGTTTCCACCATGTTGGCCAGGATGGTCTCGATCTTTTGACCTTGTGATCCATCCACCTCAGCATTTGAAAGTGCTGGGATTACAGGTGTGCAACCTCTGTGCCCAGCCCCCCAACTTTTTTTTTTTTTTGAGACGGGGTTTTGCTCTTGTTGCTCTGACTGGAGTGCAATCGTGCGATAATGGTGCGGTCCCAGCTCACTGCACCCTCTGCCTCCCAGGATTGCTTGATCCTAAGTTTGCAATTTAGGGAGCAATTCTCCTAATTTATGTATCATTTACATACAATTTAAATTTGTTCTAATTTTTTTTTTTGACAGAGTCTTGCTTTGTCGCCCAGGATGGAGTGCAATGGGGCAATCTTGGCACACTGCAACCTCTGCCTCTCGGGTTCAAGCAATTCTCCTGCTTCAGCCTCCAAGTGGTTGGGATTACAGGCGCCCACCACCACACCCAACTAATGTTTTGTATTTTTAGTAGAGAAGGGGTTTCATCATGTTGGCCAAGTGATTCACCCGCCTCAGCCTCCCAAAGTGCTGGGATTATAGGTGTAAGCCACTGCTCCTGGCCTAGTTTTTTTTTTTTTTTTTTTTGAGGCGCGATCTCGGCTCACTGCAACCTCCGCCTCCTGGGTTCAGGCAATTCTCCTGCCTCAGCCTCCCGAATAGCTGGGATTACAGGCACACGCCACCATGCCCAGCTAATTTTTTGTATTTTTAGTAGAGACGGGGTTTCACCATGTTGACCAGGATGGTCTTGATCTCTTAACCTCGTGATCCACCCGCCTCGGCCTCCCAAAGTGCTGGGATTACAGGCTTGAGCCACTGCGCCTGGCCCAGTTTTTTATTTTTTAAATGGACTTTTCTCTTAGAGACAGGGTCTTGCTATGCTACCCAATCTAGTCTTGAACTCCTGGGCTCAAGTGATCCTCCTGCCTCCATCTCCCACAGTGCTTGCATTACAGGTATGAGCCACCATGCCCACCCTAATTAAACTTTCTGTTTTAGAATAGTTTTAGATTTATAGAAAAGCTGGCATGGCCTAAATAAACTTTTTATTTTAGAATAGTTTTGGATGGGCCTGGTGCAGTGGCTCAGCCTGTAATCCCAGCCCTTTGGGAGGCCGAGGTGGGCAGATAATTTTAGGATTAAAATATCCTAAAATTAGGATAAGACATAGAGACCATCCTGGCCAACATGGTGAAACCCCATCTCTACTAAAAATACACAAAATAGCTAGACGTGGTCCCATGTGCCTACAGCCCCAGCTACTTGGGAGGCTGAGGCAGAGGCAGGAGACTACAGTAGCTGGGACTACAGGGTGCGCTGCCGCGCCCAGCTAATGTTTGTATTTTTAGTACAGACAGGGTTTCACCATGTTGGCCAGGCTGGTCTTGAATTCCTGACCTCAGGTGATCGCCCACCTCGGCCTCCCAAAGGGCTGGGATTTCAGGCAGGCGCCACTGCTCCCTCTCCATGCCCTCTTTCCCTGCACCACCCCCCACCCCACCCCCAGACGGAGTTTTGCTCTTGTTGCTCTGGCCGGAGTGCAATGGTGCGATAATCATGTGATCTCGGCTCATGGCAACCTCTGCCTCCCGGGTTAATGCAATTCTGCCTCAGTCTCCCAAGTAGCTGGGATTACAGGCGCCCACCACCATGCCTGGCTAATTTTTTGTATATTTAGTAGAGATGGGGTTTCACCATATTGGCCAGGCTGGTCTCTAACTCCTGACCTCAGGTGATCTTGCCTTGGCCTCCCAAAATGCTGGGATTACAGGCGTGAGCCACTGCACGCAGCCAGTCTTGCGGTTTTCTAACTGTAATTTTCTGTTTCGCTTATTTTTTCTACACTGTTAATTGGAATTCTACAAAGAACAATTGTTCCTTTTCTCCTGTTTACTTATTTATTTATTTAGTCCTTTATTTATATCTGTGTGGACTCATGGATATTTATTATATTCTTTGGGTTATAAATATAATACTATTATTATTAATACTTATTGTTATGTATATATTTTTTAAGAAGAGTCTAGCTGTGTTGCCCAGGCTGGAGTGCAGTGGTGCAATCTTGGCTTACCACAACCTCTGCTTCCTGGGTTCAAGTGATTCTCATGCCTTGGCCTTCCAAGTAGCTGGAAATTACAAGTGCGTGCCACCATGCCTGGCTGATTTTTTTTTTTTCCTAGTAGAGATGGGGTTTCTCCATGTTGGCCAGGCTGGTCTCAAACTCCTGGCCTCAAGTGATTTGCCCACCTTGACCTTCCACAGTGCTGGGATTACAGGCATGAGTCACCACAATACCCAGTCCATTATATGGCTTTGTTGATTATATAGCTTTTGCTATTAGGAGCTAATTCAGGTTAGCTTCTATGTCATTTAGACACACTAACATCTCTTTCTTTTCTTTTCATATCATTTTTATAAGTCTACATAGACACTGTCATCTAGGAAGCTTTCCATTAATTAAATTCTTATTTTCTTCCTCATTTGACATTTTAACTTTTTTTTTCTTATTCTTATCATCCAAACATAATTGTCCCAAATTACACTGAAAGATCAAGGCATGACAAATATACCAACCAGGGGGAAAGGATAAGACTTAGATGGACAGGGATTATTATTTTTTTTTTTTTAGTAAGTTACCTGATCTAAGTCTCAGTTTACTTATTGGTAAAATGATGATAATAGTAATAATATTTATATCATGGAGTCACAAGGATTAGATGATTAAAGTGTCAAGATGGAAAAGTTACCTTGTTAACTCTAAAGTACCTTGTTAACTATAAAGTTGTATATAAATGTAATAGTGTTATCTTTGTGTCATAGCACAAGGGCACTGTATTCCATCCCTTCAATTGTTTGGTAATGGTTTTTAAGAAAATGGTTTTGTTCTGAACATGGTATAACTAAAAAAAAAAAAAAAGAAAATGTTTTTGTTATTACACAGAGAGGCCTATTTAAGGAATAACAATGAACAATTGAAAACGTGCTAGCCAAAACACTGAGCCTGGAACTGGATTAATGTATTTACTCAGATGCAGTCTTATTTCTATAACTCCATTCATTCAGAAAACCCAAAGATTATACTGGTAATAATCATGCCCCTTCTGTCTTTCAGACATAGAATGAAAGTTTTGTCTCTATTAAAAATGTTCCAGGATCAATTTTTTTTTTCTCCAAAGCCATGTAATATGTTTCCTAAATCAACATAAACTATTAAGTAGAAGCAATTCAAGTTTAAGAGTCTGCTCATTTGCTCAGTGTCATCCTCCTGTTCCTCAGTCAGGAGATTAATGGAGTACCCATTACATGCCAAGAATACAGTTGGGGACAGTGGCTCATGCCTGTAATCCCAACACTTTAGGAGGCAGAAGCTAGCAGATCACTTGAGTCCGAGGAATTTGAGACCAGCCTGGGCAACATGGCAAACCCTGTGTCTACAAAAAATACAAAAATTAGCTGCGCATGGTCCTGTGAGCCTGTAGTCCCAATTACTTGGGAGGCTGAGGTGGGAGGTTCGCTTGAGCCCAAGAGGCAGAGATTGCAGTGACCTGAGACCACACTTCTACACTCTAGCCTGGGCAACAGAGTGAGACTCTTATTTAAAAAAAAAAAAATGACTTTCTCAAATCAAACTGGAAACTAAGATTTAAGTGAACATAATAATGTGAATACAGAGATATTTATGTGGGAGCCAAGAAAGGACAGAGCGTTTGAAAGCCAGGATCAACAGAGAAGTAGTGAAGTAGTTTATCTCTTTTTTGAATGGCTTGTTTCCTTATTTCTCTCTCTCTCTCTCTCTCTCTCTCTCTCTCTCTCTCTGTGAGTCTGATGTCTCATTGTGTACTCAAACTTTAGTGTTTGACTTAACTCAATTCTTGATGGATAGAGAACAGCAATGGAGATCAAATATGTGTTTTATGATGTAATGTTTGAAAGAAATTCAACATAGTATATCATTAGTCCTTTATAAAAAATGTTTATTGGCCAGGTGCAGTGGCTCATGCCTGTAATCCTGGTACTTTGGGAGGCTGAGGCAGGCTGATCATGAGGTCAGGAGATCAAGACCATCCTGACTAACACGGTGAAACACGATTTTTACTAAAAACACAAAAAATTAGCTGGGCATGGTGGCACACACCTGTAGTAGCAGCTACTTGGGAGGCTGAGGCAGGAGAATCACTTCAACCCAGGAGGCAGAGGTTGCAGTGAGCTGAGATCATGCCACTACACTCCAGCCTGGGCAACAGAGTGAGACTCCTTCTCAAAAAAAGTTTTTTTTTATTCATGATAGGGCCCCTACTATGGTTTAGCAAATTTAAACTAGCCCAATAATTTATCATCAATTTTTTTGTGTATAGCAAGCTCAAAATTTGGGCTAACACAATGATAATACCTAAAACCTCCAACTTCTGATTCTAGCCTCTCTCTAGGCCCTCTTCCCTCCTCCATACAGTCTTGCAGTGACATTAGGACAGTTGATTTGTAGTACTATCTAGTAAGGGTAGCAATCTATCTAGATCTCTAATACTATCTGGAAAGCAAATAATATAGACCAGGATCTCAAGCTGATTTATCAGAGAGGGTCAGAGCTTCTCCTGTCTCTCTTGACTCAGTTCTGTTCTCATAGTCCTTGCTCCCAGTTTTTTATTATTTTCAACACAAACACGATAGGATTTGATCTTCAACTTCTCAGATTGTCTATAATTGCAATATATCTGTCTTAGAAAAGTGACCTGTAGCCTGGGTGCAATGGCTCATGCCTATAATCCCAGCACTTTGGGAGGCTGAGGTGAGAGGATCTTTTGAGGACAAGAGTTCAAGATCAGCCTGGGACACATAACGAGATCCCATCTCTACAAACAATACAAAACTTAGCTGGGTGTGGTGAGACACACCTGTTGTCCTAGCTACTTGGGAGGCTGAGACAGGAAGATCACTTAAGCCCAGGAGTTTAGGACTGCTACTGCACACCAGCCTAGGCAATAGACTCTAAAAATAATTTTTAAAAAAGTGACCTATAGTTCACCCTTTCCTTAATTTCTATGGTTGTAGAATAGTAACTAGGCTGCACTATGTCATTTTAGTACTCACTGGAGCCAGATGGCCACTGCCTCAAAATTTACAAATAGGAAGAGTGCAGCCTAGTTACCTGGAAAACCTGACTTACAGATAGACAGAGCTGGAGTTTTATGGTACATCATATATATTTGAATGCCTAAGACTCAGGGAATAGATACCATGGAAATAATTATTTTAGGTAATCCTATATGGGTTAAATAGAACAGATCAAATAAACACAAATGAACCAAATTGCAGGGTTTTTTTTGGAGGGGGGGGGATTGTTTGTTTGTTTCTTGTTTTTGAGACAGGGTCTCTTTCTGTTGTCCAGGCTGGAATGCAATGGTGCAATCTCGGCTCACTGTAAAATCCACCAGGGGGCTCAAGCAATCCACCTTCCTCAGCTTCCCAAGTAGCTGGAACCACAGGTGCATATCACCATGCCCAGCTACTTTTTGTATTTTTTGTAGAGACAAGGTTTCACCACGTTGTCCATGCTAGTCTCAAACTCCTGAACTCAAGTGGCTCACTCGCCTCAGCGTCCCAAAGTGCTGGGATTACAGGGGTCAGCCACTGTGCCTGGCCCCAAATTTCTTATATATCATGATTTCCAACCCCTCTGCCCTTTGTTGTCTGTAAGAAAGACATACAACCTCTGGTAGTCAGAATCTGATCTGCAGATGAGAATGAGCCAATTTGGGAAAGAGCCCAGGCTAACAGAAGATTTGTGATAGCATTTGGGTGATGTTTTTTTAAGCAAATTTGTGTTTGGCACAGGGACAGTTTTGCCCAGGGCAGAGTATTGAGTTCTGAGAATAGGAGCCACTTAGTGGGTATGTATCTGTAAGAGGCTGATGGAGGGGTTAATAGAGTCACAGATCAAGGCAGTGGGGTAGAGGATGAGAAATTACTTAATTTTCAGGATCTATATCCTAGAGAAAAATAAAAAGAAATTACTTAATGGGTACAATATACATTATTTG